GCTTTGCATTTCCCTTCCTGAATGTTCAGCCCTGCCCTTGCAGCACGGGCTCAGCTGTGGATGATATATAAATGAACGGGCGTGGCTGTGTGCCAATAAAACTTTATTCACAAAAACAAGTGGCTGGCCAGATGTGGCCCATGGGCCCACCTTAGATGATATGCCTTCTCAATAAAGAGATTTAGAGAAATAAGTAGTACGGAAGTGCTTAATCCCACCATTGAAAGAACCACAGTTAGTGTGTGGGTGCATTTCCCTGTCTTTAAAGACTCTTACCCATAAGCAGGGTCTTGCTGTATTCACCATGCATTTTGTATGTCTTTAGATAACAGACAGTCCCAAAGATGTTTCTGTCATTGAAAGGGGCCTGTAGACTATGTCTTCCCAGTGCACGCCGCCCTGTTATACGAATCTATCATTTATTTAGTCTGTGCACAATGGTTGAATCGTTTGGTTAGAATCGTGTATGTGTGTGCGTGTGCATGCATGTGCAAGCATGCTTGTCTTTCAATATAAAAGCAAAGGACGTCTTTGAATTCCTTCCTTCCTTGGGCGAGATCGCTGGCAGGAGGTTGAGCTTGCCTGGAGTGTGCAAAGTTCTGCCTGTCGTCTGAGGCTTGGCTCCTCCCTGTGTCCCCCTGAGGCTGCCTGTGTCCTCCTGAGGCTGCCGGTGTCTGCTCCGAGCTCGCCGGGGGCCAAGTGGGGGTTGTGATGTGGACCCACCCTCCTCCTCTGGGGGATTCTGCAGGACCCAGCAGCCACCTCTTCCTCTGCTGTCGGTGGTTAGGGCATCGCATGTCTCATGTGCGTGGGAGCGCTGGGAAGCTTCGCTGATTTGCCTGTGAGCGGCGCTGTCCAGCCCCCGAGTGCACTTGGCAGGTGGTCAGGCTGCCCCCTGACGGGAGCTCTGTCCAAGAACCCGGTTCTGCTTGGCATCTGGGGCACCTACAGGGTTGGCCTTGCTTTGAGGCTCCGCTCTGCTGGCCTCACCTGGGAATAAGAAGCAGCTCATGGGTTCCAGCCCAGGCCAGAGCAGTGAGACCAGGATCTTGGGGCTGGGGAGAGTGATGGGGGCCGAGGGCTGCAGTTGGCAGGCCCGAGCCATAGACGAGAGGCTGATCCCAAGGCAGGGTAACTTGGGGCCGTGACCCGCAGGTAACATGGCATGTTTGGCTGGCAGTGAGGGCTTCATGCTCCGCGTTCCCTACCTAAGTCGCCACCTCCTGGCCTTGCACCTCTCCCTGTCCTCAGAATCTGCTCAGCACTGAGGGGCACCGCCACCTTGTCTTGGTCAGACTCACCCAGCTTCTCCAGTGGCTCTCGGGGCGGCCCTGCCCATGCATGCGGTTCTGGTGGCTGTATCGTGCAGTTCCACACCGTGGAACACGGGGCCCTGGGGCGTGCTCGGGCCTTGCGGGGCCGTGCAGGCCTCCTCTTGCCCTGTTTGTGCCTGATTTCTCCATCAGAAACTAATGACACGCCCAGATTCCCCTGGGGGTCGCCTTCCATCTCTGTCGTGAGTGTTGACAGGGGACTGCCAAGTCGGGAAGCAGGAATTGGAGCAGGCAGGATCCGTCCCCTCCCTTGCAGACACGCGTGTCCCAGAGAGTGGGGAGCTGGGCGGGGCTGTGGCGAGGACAGTCGGGGCCTCACTAATGAAAAGAATGAAAGCAGACAGTGAGGTCTACCCTGTCTGAGGACTCTGCGGCGAGGCTCCCTCCCGCCTGCGCTGAGCCCTTCCCAGCCGCAGCGCAACAGCCCACCAAGTCCTGACGTGCCCGGCTCGCCCTTGTCGGGGGACGTGGCTCTCGCAGGCGCGCCGGGCTGGGCACTCAGCAGGAAGCTGTAGCTCAGGGGATCTGGGTCTCCTCACGGCCCTAGCGAGCTCCTTTCCTGCACTGTGGCCCTGACGAGCTGCCCAACACTCAGAAGTGACCACCCCATGTCCTCGATTCCTTGAGGCTGTGCTTCCCTCTCCGTGACCCTCCGGCCTTGCCTCTTTCCCCGTTTCCTTTTTGGGTGCCCTGGCTCCCCAGCTCCCTGCAGAGCCACTTGGAGACTCACAGTAATGCTCCCAGCTGCCCCCTCCTTCCAGTCCAGCTGTGGGCAGGCTGGCACCAGCAGCTTTGTCCTGGCAGCGGCCTCAGCCCGCAGGGCAGGGGAAAGGTCCGGAGCTGGGCCAGCCCTGGCTGGGCGAGGGGGCTCAGGCCGGACTCCAGGCTGTGGCGATGCGCTCCGTGGAGCATGTCTGCCTGTCCCCTCCATGGGTGCACACAGGTGCTTTTGCTAATTACTTAAGGAGGCGCAGTTGCAAAGCTGCTCAATACAAATCCCCTCAGCTGCTGTCAATGGGGATGCCGGGGCGGCTGGCCCCACCAGGAGTCTGAAACGCGGGCACCATCTGTGCTCCCGCCACTCTGCGGCCAAATGACACCGCCAGCCTTTCTCTCTCGCACAATCTTTCATTAAATGAATTGAGTTTGCTGGGAATCGCTTGGCCGTAAATATTCCCTCCTGCTCGGCATGGTCGGGCTCTAACTGTTCCCAAGTCCCTGCTCCCGGATCTAGCAGAAGGTTCCATGGCTGCCCCTGGGATCGGGGAAGATGGGGAGGCAGAAGCTGCGGGAAATGCCATATGAAGGTTTCCACCCGCCCCCCACCCCACAGCCTCAGATTCGGGGTCGTAAATATGTCAGTGTCTCCAGCAAAGTGCGGGCCACCTGGAAAGGTTTGTCAAGGCAAGGGAGTATTCGAGTTGAATGACATCTTTCCCTTCCCGTGTCCTTCATCCCTTTGAGCATGGGTGGTGGCAGCAAGACAGGTACTTGAAACAGTGTCTTATGATGTTTGGAAACGGACTTCTCCCGTGCCTGATTGATGGAGAGGCAGAAAGTTCCACGTGGAGTTCCAAGGCTGAGGTGAGGGCTGGCAGAGGTCGGGCAGCCTGAGTCCAGCACATGTCCCTGGGCCTGTCTCTCCCCAGCAGGAGACAAGGTCTGTGTCCCTTTGGTGGGGGGGGAGCCTGCCTCTGGCCCCCCAACCCCCTAGAGCTTCCGCCTGGCCCTTCATTATGCCTGTAGAGACTCCCAGGGGCTACTTCGTCCTCTAGAGTCTAGACCAGGAGTCTCCACAATGCTGCCCGTGGGTCAGATCTGGCCCTGGCCTGTGTTTGTCAGTGAAGTTTTATTTATTTTTATTTTTTTATTTTATTTTATTTTATGAGATGGAGTCTCACACTGTCGCCCACGCTGGAGTGCAGCGGTGCGATCTTGGCTCACTGCAACCTCTGCCTCCCGGGTTCAAGTGATTCTCCTTCCTGGGACTATAGATGCACGCCAACACGCCCAGCTAATTTTTGTATTTTTAGTAGAGACGGGGTTTCACCCTGTTGGCCAGGATGGTCTTGATCTCTTGACCTTGTGATTCGCCTGCCTCGGCCTCCCGAAGTGCTGGGATTACAGGCATGAGCCACCGCGCCCAGCCGTCAATAAAGTTTTATTAACACACACACCCGTGTGCATGCATTTGCACATCATCCGTGATGCTTTTGATGCACAGCGCGGCAAAGTTTCTCAAAGCCGAAAACACTGGCGTTTGGGCCTGTGTGATGCTGCTTGCCAGCCCTGCCCTTCCCCCTCCTCTGGAGGTTGGTGTTTTTCCAGTCCCATCTCAGCCTCGTCCCAGTGAGTAAGTGACAGACCAGAGTTTCCTGGCCGCCTCCTGGGGTCTAAGTACCATGGTGGGAATCGCCGCTTGGGCGTCTGGGTTCATGCCCTCTGGGCACTGGCTTCCAAGTCCCTGAAATGTTGAGGGTCACCAGGTCACCTGTGGAACGTCCTTCGCAGTGCCCTGTGTGACAAAAGTGATGCAGTGGCAGAGCCACCGAGAACAGTGACCTGGGAAGGGCTGAGGGCGTGAGGGTGGCACGTCTGCCCGGGAGGCAGCCGCAGGGGACGTCAGCTCGTCCTTGCCGCTCGCCTGAGGTTCACACTCAAGGGGCCGTCCTGTCGGGTGTCTGCTCCATTCCCGCAGCACCCCAGGCACGCTGGCCGCAGCCCGTGGCACCTAAGTCTTTGAGCCTCTCAGACTCTCAGCCCCTTCTTCGGTCACATTGGCATCCCTGCAGCCCTGCAACATGGAGGCAGTCAGGTGAGGCTGCAGGAGCCCATCGGCCGCCATCGCCCTAGCGAGGCCCCTGGGGAGGGCCGTTGTCACGTTCTGGGATTCCCATTGGCTCTCAGCTGTTTGGGGACTGCCATCCTTTCCCCTCTTCCCAGCCCTCTTGGAACAAGTGCTATCATTAAATACTCTACATCCATTTCTACCCACCTGGAGGCGTTCTGCTTGAACCAACGGGAGGCATCTGAACCTCAGCCCTGCTGGTCTCTGGATAGCTGTGCATGGCACGGTGCCCAGTCCTGACTCTCAGGCCCCTCGTCGAGCCATGTGCCCAGTCCCTGTTTCTCCTGGGTGTCTGCTCTTGGGTTGTTCCAGCTCCCTTAAGGCAGACCAGGGACTCACAGTGGGGCAACGCCATCTCCTGACTTGTGATAGAAGTTCTAGAAGCAGACCAGGAGTGGTGGTGTATACCTGTAATCCCAGGGCTTTGGGAGGCTGAGACAAGAGGATCACTTGAACCTAAGAGTTCAAGACCAGCCTGAGCCACAAAGCATGACCCTGTCTCTAAAAATTCTCCTAAGAATCAGCCAGGCATGGTGGTGGGTGCCTGTAGTCCCAGCCACTTGGGAGGCTGAGGCAGGAGAATCACTTGAGCCTGGGAGGTTGAGGCTGCAGTGAGCCATGATTGCAGCACTGCACTCCAGCCTGGGCAGCAGAGTGAGACCCTGTCTCGAAAAGAAAAATGTTCTAGAAACGGAAAGCGCAGCGGTGGGATGGGGCGTGGGAGGGTGCCATCACTTGACCTCACGGTGTTGGACCACACGCGGCCCCGCTTGCTCTGGGGTGCGGCGTGGGGGCTCAGGCGCCTGTCTCTGCCACAGTGCACGTGCCGGAAGGACATGGTGAAGATCTCCATGGACGTGTTCGTGCGCATCCTCCAGCCTGAGCGCTACGAGCTGTGGAAGCAGGGCAAGGACCTCACGGTGCTGGACCACACGCGGCCCACCGCGCTCACCAGCCCCGAACTGAGCTCCTGGAGTGCGTCCCGGGCCTCGCTCAAGGCCAAGCTCCTCCGCAGGTGAGTTCCCAAGGGGCTGCCTCGTGACTGGCCCGGCGTGATGGTGGGTGGCCCTGGCCCTTCCCACCGGCAGGAGCTCCAGGCGTGTCCCACTCCTCGCTTCCTGTTCCCGTCCCACCTCCTCGTTCATCCCCCTCTTCCTGTTCTGTTTCTCTTTGCGTCTGGAGGCCTCGCCTTGCTGTGGGTCGGGGTAGGCCCTGCTCTGGTGGGCCGTGTCCCTGCTGCTCACACACACGGGCTCCCACACTCCTGTCAAGTCCCTGCCAGGAGGCTGACCCTCGGCAGCCCCAGGCCCTGCGCCGTTGCTTCTGCAGAGTCACCAGGCCACGTGGGTCCCTCTCTGTCTCCACGTTTCTACTCTTGGGCTACTTAGGCCCTTCCCCGGTGCTGAGAGCGAGCGGATCCCATGCAAGGACTCGGGCATCAGGTGGGCCTCGGGGCCCCTTCCCTTCTGTGTCTGCGGCTGCTCCTTTGGTGTAAAGGTGCTTCTTGGATTGGAGATCGTGGCGAGGATTGCTGAAGCCGGCCACCCGGCATGACCTAGACGCCCTCCTCTTACTCAGAACCCCTCCCTGCACATCCGGGTCCCCACTGCCGCACAGAGCCTCCCAGCTACGGTCTGGTGTCTGCCAGGAGGAGAGGGCAGAGCATCTGTAGCCTCTTGGCCTCTGACTGCAAGAGGCCGTGGGGATACCGAGGCAGGTCCCAGCCGAGAAGATCCACTTCACGCCCAGGGTGAAGGCGAGGCTGGCCTCCCTGCCCCTCCTCTGGGAAGCGTCCAGGCATCCAGGTCTCTGAGCTGCCCTCGGCACAATTCTTGACAGATTTCACTCCTACTTGGTGCCCAAGGAACATTCAGGAACCCCCTGAGCTGGAGCTGGGGCCGGGGGCGGGGGGACGGCACACAGCGGGCTCAGCTGACTCCTCCTGGGAAGGGCCGGCGAGCAAACATTTGTGACATGGCGACTTTGCAGGCCAGACCTCCTGCGTCTCCACTTGTCCACTCCGCATGGCAACTCAAGATCCCTGCAGATGACAGACAGCAAAGAAATGTACATGGCTGTGTCCATGCAGCTTTATTTATAGACCCTGAAATCTGGATCTGATAATGTTCACATGCTACCAAATATGAGAATTTCCTTTTTTGAGCTACTTAAAAATGTGACCATCGGCCAGGCTTGGTAGCTCACACTTGTAATCTCTGCACGTTGGAGGCCGAGGCAGGAGGATTGCTTGAGTCCAGGGGTTTGGTTTGAAAGCAGCCTGGACAACATAGTGAGACCCCATCTCTACAGAAAAGTTAAAAACTGGCCGGGAGTGGTGGTGTCCTCCGGTGGTCCCAGCTACTCAGGAGGCTGAGGCAGGAGGAGGCTGAGGTGGGAGGATCACTCAAGCCCAGGAGGTTGAGGCTGCTGCAAGCCAGCATTGCACCACAGCACTCCAGCCAGAAGGACGGAGCAAGACCTTGTGTATTCAGGGAAAAAAAACACGTAAACACTGTCCCTGGCTTGTGGGCTGTACCCAGATGGGCTGCTGGCCGGGCTGGTCTTCGGCCAACTGTGGTGGCCCCAGTGTGGGGGCAACCCCCCCTTCCCTTTGAGCAGTGACCTTCCCTCTGCAGCCGTCCAGTCACTGCTGGCCTGATCCTGTCCCAGCTGGCCATGGACGGTGCCCACTCGAAACCCAGCCACTGAGCACCGAGGTTGGGGGCGGCTCAGCCTTCTGGGGTGGAACCCCTACTTCGGCCCCCACCACGCTCTGCAGAAACAGACCTCGGAACTGGTTTCTGAAAAGTCACTGCTGGTCCAGAACCTTCTCTCCTAGCCGGGCGCTGCCTTTTTCCACATGTCCATCTATCTGTGAGTCTGGGCCTCAGCCTCGGCCTCCTCTGTCTTCCCCAGCCTGCGGCCTCTCTCGGGGAATGTTCCCTCCGCCCCGAGTGTTTGCACTGCCCCTCCCGACAGCCCCCAAGGTGAAGCTGCCTCTCCGGCTCCTGTTATCCGCCTTCTGATTTCCTGCCTCCTGCGTGCTCCTCATGAAGAGCTGCTTCCTGCCGAGGCTGCCGCAGGTGCCCCCACCAACCCTGCACAGCGCGTGCAGCCCAGCTCCCAGGCCAGGCTGGACGTGCTGTTTGCATAATGGTTAAGTGATTGTGGCTCAGGCTAATTGGTCAACAGAGCGGATTGCCAATAAACAGGCGCTGTGTTCCCGGAGTGAAATGGGACTAGAGGCCATCTAAATTGCCTGCCAGGAGGAGACGCGGAAGCCACTGTGCGTCTCCTGTGCGCACTGCTGTGAGGAACCTTCTTTGCACATAGGAAGCGGACCCCCCAGAACCAGTCCCTACACAGCCTGACCTCCTTGCCCGGGCCACCCCCTCGCTCCTAGTCACGACCTGCTCCTGCCGGGAGCCCCCTTCCTGTCCCCGCCCCCACCGCCATCCTGGGGGCTGCCTTCACCCAGCAGCGAACCTGAATAACAAATGAAGTCAGCTTCCTAAGGATGTAATTTTCTTTAAAGCCTTCAATATGTAAAACAAGGCTGATTTTTTTTCTTTTTCTTTTTTTTTTTTTTTTTTAAAGTCATGGGGGTGCTTTTCTCTGGAGAGGAGGATGGGTGACTCACGTTTCAAAGCCCAAGCCTACTGTCCTCCCTCCGCCAGGGAGGTGGCTGGTCCTCAGAAGGGCCTCTGCACTGGCCCCTCACCCGAGGGACCCTCTCTGCAAGGCTCCCCTTCTCCCCTGAGCCAGGCTCCCTCCCTGAGGGCGTGTCCTGGGGCCAGGCTGGCCCCGTCTGAGCATCTGTGGCTCTGGCTGTGTGGGGAGACACAGTAGACTGGCTCTGTCTCCTGGATGAGGGGCTTGTGGACACAGGCTGGATCCTTCTCTGGTGGGGGTCAGTGGGGGGCTTCCTGGGCCCTGCAGGGTGCTGAGTAGCTTCGCTGGCCTCCACCCACTCCATGCCAGGAGCATCCCCAGTCGTGACAACCACAAATGTTCCCAGACATCACCCAGTGTTCCCGGGTGGGAACTCCTGCTCTAGACCAAGGGATGGCATCAGGGTGGGTGCCATGCTCTCGCCCCAGTGGGGTCCAAAATTCCCTGCTCTCGCCATGGCTGTGGGAGGGCCCCCATGTGTTCACCAGGTCCCCATGGGGTGCGGATGGTTCAGCGCAGCCGTGTGAGCTCAGAGGACACAGCCTGCTCCCACCTCGCCACCTTACATGGGTCTCTTCTGGAACTAAATCTTGTTGGGCGAGCGTTAGAGGCTGTTTGTATTTTTCCCCGATTAATGGGTCGCCTAATACTGCAGACTGGCTCCTGGTGGCGCCGTGTGTTCTGGCTCCCTGCCTGGGCTGGAGCCCTCTCAGTGCTCTCTGGCATCCATGCCACGCTTGTCCATACAGGGTCTTTCCACACGATAAGCACCACGTACACGTGCTCCAGCAGGTGTGAGCTCCCAGCGGGTCATTTGTGCACCCGCCTCCCACAGCCTCCCTGCCCACTGCTGCCCTGTGAGCCTGCTGGGCCCAGGCGCTGTCTCCCCCACTCCTCCTAGCTCCATACTGCCTGGCATGGCTCTGCCTTGGCCTGTGCCCCCCCCGCCCCGAGCCAGTGCAGGACACCACCACGCCCCTGGCCCCGACTCCCCACCCGGGCTGCATTCCTGAGCCCTCCCTGCCAACAGGGACCTCAGCCCTTGGGGACGGAACCTCATGAGCACAGGGGCCCACTGGCTCCTGCAGGGTACCTGCAGCCTCAGGGACTCACTCGCTGTCTCCTGTCTCCCAGATCAGCCCTTCAGTTTCCCAAAGGTGCAATTTCTTAGCACAGGGTCTAGTCTTTGGGCGGGGAGCACTGGGTCAGTGGGCGGGGGTGGAGGGCTGGGTCTGAGGGCTCAGTCTGGGGCTGCCCTCACAGCTGCCTCTAAGCCTGGGGCCAAGGCTGGGGCAGCCCCCCTCCTCCCTGCCCTGTGAGGAGCCCTGAGCCAGCGCAGTACTGAGAGCTGCCGGTCCCACCCTGGGTGCTGCAGGTGCCCAGTGTTACCTGGTGACGGCGCCAGAGGCCGCTCACCCCGCCTCCTACCATGCGAGCTGCGGAGGACACCTGCTCCCCCTTGTGCAGTTATCTGGACTACCGCCGCCATTTGGCTCGCAGGAATGGGCCTGGGGTGTCCAGTTAAGCCTGGCAGGCTAAGTGCCTGTTTGTCTCCACTCTCTCCTGAAACACCAGGGAGTGAAGTACAGAGAGCGGGAGAGGGGCCAGTGGCAGCTGAGCACGTCTGCAGCCTTTGAAAAGAAGGGAAGGGCGGGCAGGAGACGCCATAGGCCGGCAGCCGGGAGGACACCCAGCAAGAAGCGGCTGGGCCGCACCACGGGGCTGCAGAAAGACACGCGGGCAGACGTGGGCAGCTCCCTGGGGGCTCGGGGGTGTGGGGGGCTCTGGGCAGAGGGAGGCGCCCTCCTGGGATGGGCAGTGGGGCCTGGCTGACAGTCTCACCCACCCCCAAGGCCAGAAGAGACGAAGGAGCCAGGGTCCTCTCCCAGAGAACAAAGGGGCCCAGTGGAGTGAAGCCACAGATGCTGCTCCTGGGCCTCCCCCAGAGTCACAGGCTCCTGCCCTCACCGGTCCCCACCACTGCCTTCACCAGGCCGAGCTCACGCACGGCCCAGCGCTGCGCACAGGAGGACAAAAGCCCAGGGGGCCCCACACATTGGAGGCTGCACTTCGTGACAAAGGCAGGGCTCCGCAGAAAGAATGCAGTGAACCCAGGGCCCTGGAGCGGTGCCGGGACTCTGCCGTTGCTGTGAAGAAGAAACGTTCCCGGGACAAGTGGCTCTCGGCTGTTACCATCCAGAGAAGAGAAGCCCCGCGGTGGACTGGGGGGTGCTCGAGGAAGCCCCTCCCACAGCACAGACAGAAAGAGCTGGAAGCTAGGAAGGATTAGGAAGCCCAGGAAATCCAGCCCCTGACAGGCGTTTCAGAAAAAGAGGAAAGTGTCCCAGGACCCAAAGACTGCATTTCCAGGTTGAGAAGTCTCCCCAAGGATGGAAATTACCCCAAACACAATGCATCCCTGTGAAATTTCACACCTCCTGGATGAAACAAAGACCCTGAGAGCTTCTGGAGCAAACAGATCACATAAACAGATCACCAGACCGGGGCTGGGCGAGGTGCCATGATCCCAGCACTGTGGGAGGCCAAGGCAGGAAGATCACTTGAGGCCAGGAGTTTGAGGTCAGCCTGGGCAACATAGCAAAACCCTGTCCCTGTCAAAAAAAAAAAAAAAAATTGAAAAGAACAGGAGACCTTGGCCAGGTGCGGTGGCTCAAGCCTGTAATCCCAGCACTTTGGGAGGCCGAGGCGGGTGGATCACGAGGTCAAGAGATCGAGACCATCCTGGTCAACACGGTGAAACCCCATCTCTACTAAAAATACAAAAATTAGCTGGGTGTAATGGTGGGCGCCTGTAATCCCAGCTACTCAGGAGGCTGAGGCAGGAGAATCACCTAAAACAGGGAGGCAGAGGCTTCGGTGAGCCGAGATGGGTGCCAC